TCGGAGGAAGAACTTCCTATCTAACTATAGTGACTGCTTGGCATGTAAAAACTGGTCAGCGATCGCATATTTCTGTAGACACTCTTGTAGCTTGTTGTGCAGAATCCGGTCATTGGTTTTTCCAGGTCAACAAAGCACTTGTGAACCGGATGAACGAACTCGGACGAGATTCTTCAAGCATCTTGCATAGGTTTGTTAATTCGTTGTTCGTTGTTTTTTCATTGTAATCTTATGTGACGGAGCTTGTTGTTCTCATCGTCATCAGAGGTACCAGGGTCAAAGTCAGAACACTCAGATTAATGATATCTGACGCTTTGGCTTCCCAGGTAGGTTGCTGTGGCAGAATTTGACAGAGCTTGGAACAGCAGAGTAACCCAGATTTATGATGTAAACCACTCATGGCACTGGCATTGTTAAAAGAGCATGGCGCAGCGAAATCGCCATTCAGCCGCTCATTGTCACGATCAGTCGCTGAGCCGTAGCTTAGGGCGAAGATGAGGTTTCAGATATTACAGCCTGAACGAAAGCCATTCTGTTCTTGTTAACTTTTTGAATCGGTAATTCCGCGACAGCTCATTTGCAACACATTTGCGTTCACGTTTTCCAGAAAGTTCAATAAGGTAATGCCCTGATTGGCATTCCGTGTAATCTTTGTTCTTGAACACCGGTTGTACATCTCCTATTATCCCGTCTACTGGTGTCTTTCCTGCATTCGCTGTTGTTTTACAGACACGTGTTAGCCATAGCGTGCTTTGTTGACCTAATTTTTAATTGTTTTAGGACGCAGCCTTGCCACATTTCAAGCTTTATACAGATTATGTGAGTTTATCTGCGGAAAGATGATTTGTTGTTTTCTGCTGTTCAGGCGAGTCTTCTTGCAGTTCTCGGGGTTAAGGACTTCCTCACTGTACTCTTCCTGTCGTGGAATTGTCTTTTTCTTTGGTACGAGGTCGTCCGGAGTTGTCTTTTAAGACTTTTAAACTGTCCTTGTTTATTTATATCTCTGGGGCGGGAGAAGGTCTGAGAGAATACTTTTTGCCGTATGGAAATTTGATTCGTGCTCCTCACCGAACCTTTCCCAGATGTACTTCATCGTACCGATTTGATGACTCTGCTTCCAAGCCACTTCTTGGAAACAGCCTTATTCTCGCTGACAGCCAGTTATTCACTAGGAAATCATATTCACTGGGAAATTGGCACTGACCTGTTTTAAACCGCAACAGTTCTATAATGGCAGTACCACGAAGGGCAGGTGGCAAAGTTTTACGGGAGACCTCGCCACTGTCTCTAACCTTCCCCATTTCTCATCCGAGCATATAGCCTACATGTGCAGATTTGCCGAGCAAGTTTGTCATTTATCTGTGATGTCATATTTCTGTCATGCTGCTCGCTTGTGAAAAGTTTGATTTGCCTTGATAAAAGCCTGCTTGACGAATGTTTATAGCTTTTTCATACTGTAAACAGGTATTCACTAAATATTGCTACGTCAATAATGTTGCAACGTCAACGTCACTTTCTTATTCACTACACATTTGGTATGTTCGCACGGTGTCTAAGAGGCTGCTTCGAACTCCAGAGGTGTAGAGTTCGATTGCGCTCGAGGTAAATCTTTGTCTTATTCACGAATTACCTTGAGCAAGAAATTTACCACACATTGCTTTAGAACCGATTAGTTCCGAGTTCCTCGATATGGGTCATTCGCCCTTCTTTATTTGGAAGTTGTTAGATGAGTGCCACTCCGTTGGAAGGAAACATAAGATTACAGACTATGTTTGCTACGTGATTGTACACTCAGCACTCTGCTGATGGAGTAAATGGACATCAGCACCGCATGATAAGCTTTGTGAAAATAGGGCGCCAAAATGGCTCAGTCATGAAAGTAAAGGAAGACCGACATTCAAACAGTGACTAGCTATTCTTTTCACATTATTAATAGAGAACTATCATTGTTCGTGGCTATGTAGTTTTGTTACCTTGTTTTTTGTTATGCCTCGAAATTATTCTTATTAAAAGTTTTTCTTATAGATCACTCGTTTGTGACATATGTAAAATAATGTAATCTTTGGGCTGTGCTCTTTGTGTTTGCACTGTTTGGATTGTATCTTTGTTGATGACAGAGCAGCGATGGAGGCAGCTTTGGAAAAGCACGTGTATTCGAATAATGTTGTAAAATTTATAATGTTTTAGAGGAATAAACGAAGATCCGCGAAGCACATGTGATCACTGAATTCGATGTTCGAAAAAACGTCCTCACCGTTACGTTAAGAGGTAAATATACAAATTTTATTTTCCTCCTATTTTCTTTTTTGTTATGGTTTGTAATAGGTGCTGTTACGCAATGCAGATAGGACATTCAAACAGAAGTTACTTTCTTCACTACTGCCGCTGAAGTAATAAACATCTGTTGCTTTTCCTAATATCCATGGCATAGGCACTATTTACTCTAGCAAGGCACAATTTCTGACGTAGGACACCTGCAGTAGATGTATGCTAAACCTCATTATCGTAATGAGTCGAACTGCAGCATGTTCGAAGTACCAGCCAGAGTACCTATACCCTCATTATGTTTAGAAGAACAAGAAACCAGTTGAAGTACTGCATGGTAATTATTCTTAATAGCAGTGGTGGAAAACTAATTCATCTCATTAAGCTCATATTCGCTGAGTAACCATTGCTATATTTTAGCGGTATTGGACATACCATGGATAAATCATTCTTTATTCAGGGAAAATCAGCATAATATATTATCCTTGGCCGTAGGTTCAACTTGCATGACTCGCATTCTGCATTTACCACCCTCCACTTCCTCGTTACGGAATGCAACAGCACCAGGAGTATCGGATTGCATGACCAAATAAAGTATACAGAAGTCTTTGTACTCCTAAATTTGTACTTGAAGGAAAGTATATACTTTGAAACGGACGGCTAACGAGCAGTGATAGACTCGCTGGCAGTTCTGTTAAGAAATTTTAAAGCAGTTCTCTTTAGGCGAAGATCGCACTTTGATCACAAGTCAGGACGTTACGATTGGGAGACATTTTCTATATTAATTCCCATGGTAAGCACGATTGCATCAAATGCAGTAATATCAGTACATGTGACGTCATCCGTTTTCCGCTACCGTTCAAAGCGCATGCATTTCAGCGAGTGACTGGCCGTCTCCCTCTTCAGAATTGAATTTAGGCGGTTATGAAATTATATTTATAAATTTAGTTTAATTAATGCTTCGAATAAATTGGTATGTGACAAATAACACTGAAGCACTTTAACACATATACACGCAAGGGTTCAGCTACGAAAGCCATGGCCTGCATAACGGGTTCCTTAGGCTTTTAAAAGCAAGATGGTAGCGCGTAACTGTTGGCTATTAAACTGTTTTTGTTCTTGTTGGTAATATATTTGTTTCATATCGAACCTGACTTTTACACAGAGGCAGGTAGAAAATGAGATATTGGCATTTTGGCCTTGTTTCATTGCCCTAAAACTCACAATATCATAAGATAAATCGTAATTTGTTATTATAACGCTTCAGTATTCGTATCATAATTCATCCGGTATGCGATGCATCTTCCGGGTTATTAATGGGCATGTACTTTGTATATCAAATGTTCTGCTAGTTTTGAAGTAAACACTAAATGCCGTTATTAAGGTACCTAGTGATACGTTGAGATGCCTGGGCTCTGAACGGTAAAACTAGCATTGGTCCATATGAACTTGACAACTTTAAATTGAGCTGGGGGTGCAAAATTTCTTCTTCTGGGATCCTCCTTCATTAACCATTCTGTAGGAACGCTTGGTGAAGATGTTGGTTTTCTGTGTTTAGGCCCGTAGTGTTAGTGCATATCTCTTGGGCTCGCAAACTTTGTTCTTCACCACGTTAAGTGGTTCTTGAGGATGTTTTAAATATTGTCTACGAAGTTCAGTGCACAGACTGCGACAAGTTGTACATTGGGAAGACCAATCGGAAATTGAATATCAGTATTAAACAACACCAATCTAAATTAGGTTTGCTGGTAAAGAGAACTTTACATATACTGGCAATGAAAAGCCGAATGTGCACGAATAGACATTTTTTGTGGTTATCAGTGAAAGCTGGGGGGACATATATATGTGTGTGTGTGGAAATATATGTGTGGGACATGTGTGATGATGTGATGATGCTGCACTCTGTGCAGTGAAACGTTGGCACAAAACGGTTTACCCTCTGCTGCATTTAATGCTACGAACCATGAATCATTGAAACAACAAAGATTATTATTATTATTAATATTATTGACTTGTGAGGGGCGATGTATTGAGTTACTTCTCTGGTAATCGTGAAAGAGATTTTGTACACTGAAATTGATTGAGATATCGTTTTTTGCTTTACGAAATCGTGGAATGAATTAGTAAATGAAAGAATAGGTGTACTACATTTTCTTTTCTTTTTTCACTTCTTGCTTCGAATGCTGCTACCTATTCATATCTTTTCTAGTTGCTGTTACCAAAACCATTATTTCATTCGCTTGTTTCGGCTAGTGCTTAGTCGATGGCGATGTTCCTGTATTGGCAGACGCTGATGCAGCGGCTAAGGACGGTGTCTAAACTTTTGTATGCATTCTGTGTCATGCTGTTACTCGGCTTTGCTTTGTCGTGGAGTCGTCCGTTTTGGTTTGATAACCTGACGATCGTACCGTACAGGTTTTTGGGTCAGTTCTCCATCGGATCCATCGTCACCTTTTGGCTGATCGAAGATAGCTTCTTTTTTCTATTATTGGACATCGCCTGTCTCTACACATTGTTTACTGTCGTGCAGCCATTCTGGGGCGATCGAGAGATATTACTTTTCCTCTTTTCCGTCACCACCGTTTTTGGCCTATTGCTAGTAATCGTGTCGACGGTTGCGTATTCGTTCGGTTGGCATTCACTGTTCTTCGATGTAAACTACGCCGGCTTTGCCGCTCCCATGGGCGCGGCGTTCGTCGCCGTCAAGCAGGCGCTACCGGACGCCGTTCTGTTCTCCGCCTTCTCCATCGGTCAACGCTTGAAGGTCAACCATCTTCCGTTCTGTGGTCTGTTGGTGCTGCCAATGCTTTATTTCTTCAGCGATTGGCTAAAGTACCAAAGTTACTCCTCCGGCGCCGCCATATCGTCTTTCGCCTATGTTGCTGGCATTATCATCGCCTGGGTTTACCTCCGCTACTTCCAGAAGCATACCAACGGCACTTACGGTGATCCGTCGCCAAACTTCTCATTCAACAGGTAAGAATAACGAACAGAAAATTTTTATGTCACTGCCGTATCATTATCATTTAATCCTAAGATCATACCACATCAGATTTGCACCTTTATTTTCATGGAGCTTGCAGTATTGCGCTTGTTTTTCGTTTCTCGCCATCAAGCGGTCATGCCTTGCTTCAAATACATTTGATCCTCGATTTACGATACTTCTACTTTTGGATGATGCAATGGTGATACGCCATCAGTCTTTCCGTAGCGATCGGGAGCGTATCATACAATGCTTAGCGACATGTCATATTTCATATGATCATAATTATGATAGATTTGCGAAAATTGAACCACAAATACAGGAGCTCTTGCTTGGTATAAAAATTTTATTCTGAAACTGTCCAGTCAAGACTAGGTATCTTCCTGAAGAAGTAACTGTCTGTTCCTGAACCGCCCACAAGTGTCGACGACCCAAGACTTTCCGCTTGTTCTACACTGATTTTGCGCATAATCTTTCATTGGAGAGAACGCCTTCATGTGGTCTCTGAATTCTGCCGCAAGTCCCTAATCTAGTCCAATAATAATATGGGATTGGTTAGAGCTTAGACTGCATTTTTCCATTTTCACTTAACTCGTTGTCTGTAAGCCACAGAGAAAACTGAGTCAGTGAATACGTAAAGATGTTTACACTAATATCTGTTTGATAGCAGATTTGTGCAGATGCAGCTGCTTACCCCGCGGATCACCTTCGGTGAGATTCCATCTTTGGATGACTGGAAATTTGTTCATCATGCACAAATGGAGAGCACAAGTATCGTGTTAGAAAACTTTATTCACAGCGTCACCATCCAAGCGTTGGCTGTTGTCGATCGTGCTTATTCAGGGTCGAGGTATCCCCGAAGGCAAACTGACCCCTTTTTTTGTCCTGGACTATTAAGGCCAATCAGCGTGCATCCGCCACTGTTTACCACACGCTCTGGTGCTGTTATGGCGTACCCGTCCCCTCTATTAACCTTAAATGATACATTGCGACTTGTCATGATGGATCCATGCTATTCGCCCCCAGGCGCCTCTGGCATGGATTGCGTCATTAGCCGATTTATCACCGTCGACTGGAACTATACTTCTGGCAGGGCGTCTACAGGTTGATTTTTATACTGACTTTAGGAGTCTAAATAGGTTTTTGAACATGACAGTTCGAGATACTCTAATTTGTTAAAGACCTCCTCCAGAGGTCACTAGTGCGATAGTTTGGACATATCCCAGAAGAATGCCACATGGAAGACAGGCCACACGGCGGACCACATGGTTCTGTTGTTTGAAGCAAATGGCATTACGGTGCCGTGGAATGCACGTCATCGAGTTTTTAATCTTGACTCTTATTTTATTGTGTTATTATAGCACTTAACTTCTCAGATCATTCGAAGCCCATTTTCTTGGTGTTAAACATTTCGTGGAGGCCAAATATGCTGTCTGGTGTTGGTTGTAACATCCTGTAAAGACTCTGCTCCTCCTTTACTACAGGAACGCGTTATACAATCATCGACCACAATGTACTCTAGGTGCTGGAGCATCACAGATGCCATTGTGACTCTGATGGATTGCATAGCTCGGAACATTGACAGAGACAATGCCACTTGCATTTATGGACTTCAGCTCAGCGTCGAATATGATCCCACTAGAACATATCAATGGTATCTGGAAATCCATGTATTATTCTTGTGTTGAGCACTTATATTTTCTCAGCTGAGGCAATGCGCTCGCATCATATGAAGAATTTCAAGCGTTCAGCTGTCTAAACTCAGGAGTATCTCAAGAATCCAGCTTGTACTCTTTCTACACCGGCAAAATGTCATCTTAATGTATTTTTGCGTCAGATTTGCTGATGATATTCTCATATTCTCTGTGACACATACCACATGGAAGGTGACCGGTTTCTGACAGGTGGGGTACGGATCTGCGATTACTGTTTTAGGAGGAATCTTCGCTCCACTCAGTTGGGCATGGATTTTTTAACGTTTAACTCGTATAGTTGAGTCTTGTTTGGAAAAGTTTGATTTTTATGCTATCTTGTTTTGATTTATTTCTTAGCTTATTGGACAGCTTTTTGTAGCCTGTTCCCGTCGATGTTTCACCCGTTTTTTGACCGAGTCGCGTCCGGTTTTCGCCACATTTGTTGGTGTAGGAAATACTGCATGAAATCCATCAGATATGTCCGCTTAGACGAAGTTAAAACGAACCCTGACTCGTTGCGGCAGCTTGGATCAATGGACATAGAACGACAGAAGTAACTTTTCGAATTTTTTGTTACCTATTTTTCCTTTTCCATTTTGCATTATATTTTTGTTTTAAATGTTGTTTAATATATTTAATTAGTTTAAGATAGGGTATTTCAATCGGAATCCTTCCGTTGCAGTAGCACGGGCAACTTTGCAGGTCTAAAAATTTAAATGTTCCACAAGTGCTCCGTGCCATTGTTGCTTTTCTATTGATTTTATATAGTAAAGATCAGCCATTCCAGAAACTCTTAGTTTAACATCTCTTAAAACCAAAGTC